AGAACTGGCCCAAGTGTTATAATCTGTCCATGGACCCCTATTCTAAACTATATGTATACACATTTGACCTTTTTTTCTACAAGTATTAATTGGGCAGCTGCTAAAAGCAGGCATGTTTCTGGAGATGGAATGAGGCACACAGGATCTGTGTGTGTGTCTCTCTCTCTCTCTCTCTCTCTCTCTCTCTCTCTCTCTCTCTCTGCCAGGCGTGGTGTACTGTAATCCCACCACTTGGGAGGCCAAGGCAGGAGGACTGCTGAAAGTTCAAGGCCAACCTAGGCTACATAGTGAGTTCAAGACCAGTCTGAAATGGGGGTGGTTGTGCACATCTGTCATCCCAGTATTCAGGAGGCTGAGGCAGGAGGATAGCTGAGAACTTGAGGCCAGCCTGGGGTATATGATGAGACCTTGTCTCAAAAACAAAACAAAACAAAAAAAGACCAGCCTGTTTTCAAAAAAGAAAAGTCTACTCTCCTCTCCACCTCCTTTTTTTGAGATAGGGTCTCACTGTGTAGTCTAGGCTGGCCTTGAACTCACTATGTAACCCAGGATGGCCTCAAACTCATGGTGATCCTCCTGCCTCAGCCTCTTGAGTGCTGGGATTACAGGTGTGCGCCACCACACCTGAAAGAATGGCTATTATCAAGAAATCAACCAATAACAAATGCTGGCAGGGCTGTGTTGTGGGGAGGAACCCTTCTCCACTGTTGGTGGCAGTGCAGACTGGTGCAACCACTGTGGAAATCTGTGTGGAGATTTCTCAAAAAACTAGGACTAGAGGTTCCATTTGACCCAGCCATTCTACTCCTGGGTATCTTCCTGAAAGAATTGAAAGCATCATACCACAGTGATATATGCACACCCATGTTTACAGCAGCACAGTTTGAAATAGTCAAATCTTGGAAACAACCCAAGTGCCCATTAACTGGCGAACGGATAAAGATGTGGTTCTTTTATACAATGGAGTACTACTCTGCCATAAAGAAGGATACACTCAAGACATTGCTAGGAAAATGGACACACTTGAGACCATACTCTTAAGTGAAATAAA